AGAACACAAAATTGAAGTGGATAAAATAAAGCAGAGGATAGAATTTCCTTGAATTTCATGTCGAAAATATTCAGACTCGATTTCAGGTCGATGTTTTCCATTTTTAGTTGCATCGTCATTTGTCCATCTTTCGCAATATTTATCGAACAATTCTCGATACTTCAGTCAGGATCTTTCCAGAGATATTTTTAACGAAGATCTCGAGCACCGTTAACGTTGCACTTACACCGATTCCAGAGCAATGAAAAAGTTTCCATCGGGGAGGAAACAAGTTTCGTTTCCATTGCTTCGGATACAAAGAAACCAGAATTGTAAGCTGTTCCGCTTGTATCCTGCAACAGAAATGAAATTCAGGGAACACCTTTATTAAAGAAGTTTGCCGCACGATAATTTCTTCGTACGTACAAGCGAATGCAACTTTTTGAAAACAGATATTGCTTACCGGTCAAATTAAATGGGAAACTTTTACCTGCAAGCAGAAAAGCATTAGTGTTTTAAAAAGTAGTCTGATATGGTGCACAAATTGAATTCTTCTTATTAAAAGAAATATCTTTATTATTTCTTTCTACCTTTTGTAATAGCAATAATCTACTATAAACATTGAGTTTTACTTTGGGAAGAAAAGATTCTTGTTCTACTGTTTTAAGCAATCAAAACTTTGAAATTTAAACTTTGAATTCTCAAATGGAATAATATCATTTGTTTTCCATTACTTATAAACCCTTGAAAGAGTTTCATATATTCGAAGAATAATATTTGAAGGAACAGTGTAATATTTAGGAAATAAAAGTAATATGGAATACAATATTAAATTAAAACTAGGGCTCTCTCCATAGTCCGTCATCTTAACACTCTAATGGCTAATATTATGTATTTGTAATTTTAATTTTTCACTATAATAATACTAATTGCAATTTGATAATTAGTTATTCAGTGGCGTACATTACTGACGCTGTCAAATATAATTCCAATCAGAAACTGATTAAAATTGCAAGTACTTTCCGTAATAAATCGTGATACCCAGGAAAATGAATTTTTTAAAGGTTTCATTTCCTTCTGGAAGTTCAAATTATAATTGTGGTTAGTCGATCGGATCAAATATACCTCGAATGGAATTACAATCGTGTACATAAAATATTTCCAAGCGTATGATAACGTTTGTCGAGAGGGGAAACGGTCGTTATCTAATGATCGATGAACGAAATTCGATGCGAACGATCGTTTCGGTGAAAAGTTTTCGTATTGCCGGAAACCGCTATGCGGGTCGGAGTTTTTCATAAAGCCGTATCGGAAACGAATAAACCCGGTTGGTATCCGTAGGTTGTGGGGTCCGGCATTCTTTTGCAAAATTTAATGGAAGCAAGGCGAAAGCGAGCTTCAAAACATCGTAATATCTCAGCGTCGAGCGAATCATAAACCGTCTGAGGCTTTTACGAGGGAACAGCCGTTCTTTAAATGGCTTTGCGATCTCGATCTTGGGACACGGGAGACTCGGCAAAAGCTATCGTCGATATTTTCCTTTGTTCGTTGAATCCTCCGAGGATAGGAAACATACCCTTCTGGCGGGGAAAAAAGAGAGATGAAGGAGGAAAATGAAGAGAGGTGGCCAATGAAATTCACGGAACAGGCTTGAGAAGTGGTTTACAGAGAGAGGAAAATGGAGACAGGGGTGTGTGTATGCAAGGGAAGTAGAAAGAGGAAAAAAATGAGGAGAAAAAAGGTAGCGAAGAAATAATACATAAAGGGAAGAAAATAGTGCACGGCAGAGAAAGAGAGAAATGAAGATGAAGAAAGAAATACAGTCGGTTACAAAAATGTTTAGACACCTACGTTATTAGAGTTATGAACATAACCCTTTATATTTTGAATAAAAATACAGTGCAGTTATCAAATTATAAAATTAATAATTCTAAACAATTGGTGGCTTCGAATGAAACAGATATTTTAATTAAAAAGGTTCTATATTCGCAGTGCAAATTTTCTCTAACATGCAGCATTGGGTGTGTACCTATTTTTAAATTGAAAATAAATTGAAAAACTAGATAAATGAATTTTATTGTATATTTTCAATTTATTTTCTATAATTTAAAATAAGAAATTAGAAATTAGAAATTTGTCATTTTAGCAGTTTTAATTATTTTATTATTAGATCAGATATCTATTGACCTATGAATACTAATTAATTAAATTGCATTTTGCAGTTCTTGTTTTCGAATCAACTGCATAATAGTTGCATAGGAAATAAATCCAAACATCACTTTTTGAACTTGATCGAGAACATGGAATAGAATATCAGGAAGAGAGTTGGTTCCCAATTTTTTTATTTCTTTTTTTCTCTTTTTTTTATGGAAAGCAATTCTCCAACGAGTCAGTTTTCATCAATCGAATCCCAGTTGAGATCGAATCACACGCTGACTGATTTTCGATGCATCGTCGCGTGTATGCACGCGATGCAAGTTTTTCGCGAGCGGATCCAAGTGGTTCTGTGAAATTTTCCTCGGTTTATTTATCCAACCCCCGGTCCACGCTCAATCGGCTGGCAAGGGTTCCTCTCTCTTCATATTTTTGCGAGCCACGTTGGCCGTTCGCGTTTTTGTTTATTAATGGAAACGCGCCGTGTGGCTCGGATGAAAAGAAATTTCCCCTTTTCGCAGGCCTCGAGATGCATCCCTCGAGTGGCCTCTCGATGCTTCCATGCCAGCTTATCCAACAAATTGGTTGAAACTTCCCTATGCCAGACAACTTTTCTTTCCCTCAGGCCTTAAGAATTTCAGGATATTAATGAATTGATTGGATGGGATAAGCTTGCTGAAGAATGAAGAAATTTGTTGGAATTTTTTTTCTAATTTTCATAAGAAGAATTTTACTTTAATTACACATTTTTTAATTGCTCAGAATTGAATGCCAAATGACGAAGAAACAAAATAAGCATAATGGATGAAAATACATATTTTAGCGTGAAACGGATCAAAGTACACGGGTTTCATTAGATTCCAATGTGTGCGTACATTTGTGAAACTTCATTTTCCAACCTTATTCCCCGATCAAATTTCTCTTTCTGCATTTCTAAAACCAATTTCTGGGTTTCAGTTTCCTTTCGATTCTTCCAAGTTATAACACGAACGCGAGTTTAATTATTTGGAACCGTGAATCGATTTCTCGTATTACATTTCTTTCGACTATAAATTGAGACTTCATAAATCTAGTTATTCTAATTTAATAAATATGTTAATAATTGTTTCACAAATTATCATTACTCTATATATTTTCATATTTTACGAAGAATTTGAAGATATTGCAATCCCAGGGGCGTAATATTGAAAAAAATACCTTTCAATTTTTCTTAGTTCCAATTTTCTCATAACTGCATAATGCAACGTGACGTTTCAACAGAAATTTCATGACTGAAAAGAGATAATATAAAATTATATTAAAATTATATGAAGATGATTGGATAAGAAATGTACGAATGCAGAAGGTTCAGATGTTGCAGAAGAAATGTTAAGTAATCATAGTTAAATTTTTGATTTATCACGAAATACGTAACATTGCCAACGAGATGCGGCATAAAATCGAAGCAGAATAATCTTGCGGGAAAGTAGATAGGATGCAAGGCAAAGGAGGAAGAATCGAGTCGGATGGGAACCGTGGAAGGAAGCGACGTAGCAGAAAATTGCAGAAGGCAGCCATCGTGGTGGCTGGTTTGCTGGAATCGCGACGTTCGACCCTTTTTGTCGTTATCCACGTAATCGCGACTAATTTGTTCTGCACCGACCACAGGGAATCGCGGCAAGGAGGAGCTGCTCTCGACTGGTAATCTGGTTAACATCCGTGTTAGGATTAAACCATTAGCCTGGTGGGAAAGGATACGAAGGGAACGACAACACCACTAGAGAAATTCGTGTACGACGTGCACTCTCGTTCGATTATTTTCTATACGAAAGGGTATTTTGAATAACAAAATTGTCTAAAATAGATTTTTCGAAGCACCAATCATCAAACTGTAGAATTAATAATGACTAATTCGATCGACGAACGTTGCTCCAAATTTTCAATTAAATATATAACATGAACCTTTTACATCAACCTAATATTTCAAACCTTCAATCCTATTGATTTCCAATGAACCAATACTCCTTGTCAGTTACACGAAATGGCTTTTCCAAACGTAAATAACCTTCTTGGAGTAGCGATAAGTTTTACAGGGTTCGTTGTCAAAATTGTCACCGTGTCCGCTAAATTTCATTCCATTTTCATCCGTCATGAATATCAGCGTGTCAAAAAAATGCTGTGCCTCCTCGACCCCCTAGTGGTCTCTCTTTCTTTCGTCGTTCCAGCGATTTATTGTTTTTTTTTTCCTCCTCTGCTGCACGATGACTACAGAGAGGTAGAGAGAAGGACCTCGCTTCTGTTGGTGCCATCGGCCAGGACCCTGGGATATTATACTACCCCTGAATTATACGTCCATAAAAACGTGATGAAGCGGCCACGGACTGGCAGAGGCCGGCAAATGGCTCGAAAAATCAAAGAGAACGGGAATAATGGTCAACGAACGGCCAGACAGGCTAATATATTCGTTTTTCTCGCTACGATTCGCGTTGCTGTCCACAACCAACGACAGAGCCATTATTTTCGTTCACGATGACACGTTTGACGAATCTCTCGGACGGAATTACGAGCCTTCGCAAATTTCTTCTCTCCTTGTTTACCCCTGGTCGATTTTCTTCTGTTTCGTTTTCGTGAAAGATTCCAAGTAGTGCGTTTGACATTTTCTGCCTGGCTTTCAGTAAATTCGGGAAATATTTGCTATAATAGTATAGAAATATTTAGTAAAATTGTTTTTTGCATCATTGAAGTCAAATGATTCTTAATTAAAATTCTAATTTTTACAAGAACTCACTGTATTTATATTATCTGTTTATTTTGTTTAATGTAAAATAAAATTGTTTATTTTCAAAATATGTATATTTGATCTAACTGTTTATTTTTCATGTTGACAGATGATGAAACATGGCTGGGACAATTACGTGAGATACGCCTGGGGAAAGAACGAGTTGAGACCGATCTCAAAGAGAGGTCACAGTGCCAGCATCTTCGGTGCTTCGAATATGGGCGCAACCATCGTCGATGGTCTCGACACCCTCTACATCATGGGCCTTCACGACGAATTCAAGCAGGGTCGTGATTGGATCGCGGAGAACCTCGACTTCGATATCGTGAGTACCTATTATTCTTTCGTTTCTCGTTTTCTACCGATGCTTTCTTCCATGGAAATCAAGAATCAATACAGGTTCTCTGTTAACAGAGGGTACCTTTGATTTGTGAAATGGATTTTATATTGACACGTTAAGAGAACGTGCTTGGGTTTGATTATCAACCGGGACGAGTTTTATCGAGCTCGTGAAAATTGTTTTAGCTTGGTGATAATTTAGTAATGTGAACATTTTAACACGTTGCCTGACACGCTGAGCTAGATCATATTAATAATTATTACACAGATGGTAATTCAATTTTGGTACATTGCAGTATTAGTGTAATTTAGATAGTCTTTTAATTATTCAATGCTATCAACGCGTTAATTAGACATCTCGTTAAAATTTATTATTGTAGAATGAAATCTTTCATCATTTGGTAAAGATAAATTGATTTTAAATTATGTTCTTTATACATTTTATAATTTTTAATGTTCGATCAACTATTTTACAAAATGCTATATTCTGAAAAAGAATTTTATTTCAAACTCTTCAGAAAAGAACGAATTTATTAACTGCTACTTTTCAAATCGCCACGTTCTTCACACCATTTTGAAAAGCCACTGTCTAGACAGAATCGTCGATATTCCAGGTTGTTCGTAGTAAATTTTGTTCTTCGAGTAAGACGTCTCGCCTTAAACGTGACCATAACTCCATAAAATTCGTTGGTTCTTCTTTCTTGAAGACCGTTGATCTCTCAATAAACACAGACATATTGGAAAAAGTGTTCAACGCACGCAGCGAAAGCAATTTCATCGGGTTCTTCCCTGGCGTTGGCCGACTTGAAATCCCGATGGAACGTGGCGTCGCGTCGCGTCGCGTGTGCACACACCCGTCGAAATCCACTGGTTGACGGTTTTTCCTTGCCAAAGCCCGCGAAAATGTGTTTACTTTACCCGACGGGGGTAAGACGTCGCGATCTTTGCTCGGTAGAATCCGTCTTCAAGAGTGAATTCGAAGCTGAAGAGCTCGATGGCCCTTGAAATTGTCGCGAGATAATTTAAGAGAGACTCAGCTGATCGTGCTCCTGAAAATGGAATGTTCAATTTTGTTGCTGAAATGCTTTTTCTACGTTTCTTTCGTGTTAACTTCGGTCTTTTAGTTGGTCGCAATTTTTTGGAAAAAATGTCAATCGTTCAATTAAAAAACAAAGTTATAAATTAAAATTGATTGCATTTTTATATTTGCCATCAGTCATGAGCAAAATTTTATAAATGCAGTTAAACGTTTAACAGAAAAAATACTTCCTTATTAAAAATTATATCGCTTCGTTTTATACGATAATTATAATACCACAAGGAAAAGCGAAAAAGAGATTCAATCTAAAGTTAAACGATGATCAACGTTAAAAAATGGTTAAACTTCCTTCCTCGAAAATGAAGCGAAAATTAAAGGATATTATGGTACTTGCAGTTTGTCTTCCTTTGTTTCCTCAACATGTCAAGGACAAAGGGAGTAGCAGATTAATTTTCACCCGGTATATTTTAAACTTTGTAATCCCCTTTCCAAAGTTGAAACTGGTCGTTCCACTTGAATTTCCCTCGAAAGGATTTTAACCACTCCGAACCACGAATTAATACAATTGAGGACAATTTAAAAAATCTCGAATTATTTTTTATTTTATTCGCTATCCAATATATACAATTATTAAATTAACTGTAGCAGTTCAAGTAGATTAAAAAGAGCTGAGACTTAACTTCTCAAATAGAAAAAATACAGAAAACATTATTTTTCTATGCTTTCTTGACGTGGAATGTTTAATTGTTTTTGAAAAACATCGTACATTTGAAGGGTTAAAGACTAAATATGTCTGTAGGGAGTTACTTTGACAGGGTGAAGGGGGGATAAACGAGAGGAAACAGCAAAAACAAGGGATTCTCTACCATTGGTCGAGCTCCCACGAGGATTTTAGATAATCCTTTGAGAATCGAAACTATAGTGAAATGGGGATCAAACAAATATTCTCTGACCTTGACAGACAATGAAGATTCTTTCTAGAAGATTCTTTCATTTTACCTTCTAAATATTATTTTGAATAATTGTTAAATTAATATTTCTTGTATTTCAATGAAAATTTCACAATTGAAAAGACATCGTCTGAATGAATAATTTTTACTTTGTATCTTAAATAATAATAATTAGCACGGGGTAAAATTAATATTGCTGAATACTGAATTTCTATAGAAAATGCTGAAAATTTATTTTAGGAGCTTGGAAAGCACTTTAATTAACATGGAAACCGATATTGCAAACATTATTATTTGACTCGTTTCGCTACTGTTATTATATGTAAATTTTGTTGAAAGGAAAATTAAATGAATACAGGATTACAAGGATTCTGCAATTCCATTTAGATCTCAGAGGGAAATGTTTGGTTCGTTTAACCGATTTATCATTCAGTAGAGCTGCAATTCATGTAGAATTATATCCTTTTTACAAATTGATAATCTTTCAAAATTAACGAAATCTGTTCGAAATACTTATTCGCTGCAATAAAATTAAACTTAATTACCAAACACGACAAAAAATTCAATGAAATTGATTACAGCACAATTGATAATGCAACATTTTAAATATAAAATATGAGAAAATATAAGAAAGTAACATTTTAGATGATAATGTGTAAAAATACCCGTAAAAAGAGCAATGAAACACAGAATGTTACTTTTAAACATAAAATATGTAAAGAGCATTAATTAATTTTTGTATGCAAATAAATTCAGGAGACAGTGCAAAGAATGTCCTTTAAAATGCATTTTGTTGGAAGCCGATATCTCAATTGGTTCCTGAGATATAGCGTTTTGAAGGGTAGCGTTGAAAATGCGCTAGGAGATGAATGAAAGACAAGGACACGCGGAAGCGCCGTGACCTACATTTTTTCTCGGAAATGCGTACGAGTAGTAGTAGAAGTAGTAGTAGTAGTAGTAAAAAACAGGTCAGACGCTGCCATTGAGTAGCGCACGCGAGTCACTGACAAGGATCGAGCTATTGTGCGAGTGAGAAACAAACGTAAAGCCATCAAAATTACGTTCATCTTCCAACGACGATATCTCCGAAAGGAAAAATCCTATTTACATGTACTAAACGGCATTCTAAAGAGGAAGATTTCCCGCTTCTATCGATGCTAACCATAATTTATTCTGATTTTTTAATCACGTTGAAAATTGTTAATAAAAATGGTAATCTTTTTGAGATTGAAAGAGAGGTGTCAGATGATTGTTTTTGGTTAGATCTTTTAACAGATAAACTTATTTAGACTAAAAGAAACAATTATAGTGTTTTTTCAATTGTATTTGTTTAAAATATATTTAACAATATTAAACAAAGCAAATAATTTTAGAAACTGCTTTGAAATTCCTGAGAAACGTAATGTACACTTATGAATTGGATTATTTTGAATAGATAGATCTGTTCTTAGATTGTTTATTATATTATTTATGTTATTATTTTAATATTTAGTAGGAATTTTGATTAATTTATTTTTAATTGAGCAACTCTTTTCGATTTCTTTTAAGCCGATTAAATACACAATTTCTGCATTCTGTTAATTTCATTTGGAAAAAACCTATAATTGTCTCTTTAATTATTGCAGTACAAAGCAATAAATATTGGAAAATGTATATTGGAATTGATTGTCGCGTTAAACAGACGAACTGAATGGAAATGATTGAAAATATTTCCAGCTGTTGTTGGTAGAAGGAATATGGTATTAAATGGAATAATATAAAAGGCAAAGACAATCTTGGATGTAACGGGATATTAAATACACAATCTGAGGCAAATCGTGCAACGGTTACGAAGAAATTAATTCCTGGTAGGTTCGTGCTTTGCGGTGAGAACAATTTTGTCCCCGCGTGCCATTTGCTTCGTCGCGATATTAATATCGACATTCCATCGCCAGCGATGTTCTTTCCCGTTTGATAAATGAAAATTCCTTAGCACAATGTACTGCTCACGTTCCGTAAATATCAATAAACGTACTGTCTTTTATATTTTAATCTCATCTTATGTTAACTTACGTATTTCATCCTTAGAGAAATAATCCTTTATTCCATTAATATGTTCTTAAAGAATCCAACTCCCTCATAAGTGACAAATCTTTCTTTTTTCAATTCGAGTTTAAAATGACAAAAAAAAACCATTAATTTCTTAAAATATATAGTAATCCAAACGTTGAGTTTGATCTCACACACAATTCAGTTATTACAACTGATGCATTATCATTAAAAGAAAATTCATTTAATTTTCCCAAAGACCAAGATCCGCAATGGTTTAATTAGGTATATTTTAATAAATAGTAATCTGTTATATTTTAAGAATAAAATGACTAAACTATTTAATCGACCGATGATTTTTTCTAAAGATTAAGATCGATCTTGATTTAATCAAACTTGTTCGATCAGAAATGAAACAAACCGCGCAAGGTGTCTAATAATTCTCGTTCTGTGGGGAGTCGTTGAACGCGACGCATCTTTCTGTGTCCGGAATTAACAATCCAACGTTGGAACTCGTTAATTAACTTAATCGTTATGTAAATCAGTATGCCAGCCGCTTCTCGAGGGGGGGTGATGGTAGGCAAGGACTAAACTTTGCACGGGTGTTTTCGCCGGTAGACACCATGGTCCCCGTGAGCAGCAGCCAGCAAACTTAGCTCGGTTTATACGAACTTGGTGTAACAGTCCTGTTACTTCTGCACCCCGAAAACTCTCGGTTATCCTGGTTGCCCATTCCACCAACACCCACGCGGTATTAGAGAGTATTCCTAAGTGGATAACTTGGCGTATTAACTGGTAACCACGCTCGTCGAGCAAAATTCTTGCCTACCATCTACGGCCAAACGAGTCTTTATATTGTATTATAAAATAATTATTTTCTATCTTGAAACGAGCTACCCCAACAGTCGGGTGAGACACAGGATTATTTTGATACCAGAGAATATTCGTGGAGATTAATTAACTCTGTGATTAATGGAATTGAGATTTTTAAAGCTCAGAAGATGAAGAGTTGGAAGAGTTAAATTTGGATGGTTATTTTTGTTGATAAAATAATTTTGCAATGAAGAAATAATTGGCAAAAAATAGAGCGGAAATCAACCAAAATTTAATTGTGTTAGATAATGAATATATTTTAAAATCAATTGGCGCCTTCGTTAATTCGAATGCAGAAGAGATTTAATAGTAATGTATATTTTATTCAGTCAAATCATTTAGAGAGTTTAGGTGTTAATTAGAAACACTCAGACTATTTACATTTTATACAAATAGACAGGTATAGAAAATAATCCATTAGTACTTGAAGAAAGGATGCAAAAATAAGTTAACTAATTTGATTTCAAATTGACGTGGAAGACATCTACCATGGAAAACTAAATTATAAAGGATTGACAAGTGAATAATACCATTAGAGCAATTTCGTGTTTTAAAGTTATAATTAGAAAAAATTTAATGATTTCAAGCTCTAGTGATTGACTATCTTTCTGTCGAATATTCTGACATTTTCTGTAATGACTCGTACATATCTAACGGAAAATAAATCTTACAATTTTAGCATCATTATTATTTCACTAATAACTTCCAAACTTAATACACATTCAATAGAACATGTATGAAATCCTTCGAGATACTTGATCTGCATCGAAGATTCCCATTCGTTCGTTAAATATTATCCGATCTTGAAATTTCAGCGACAGCAACGAGTCTCTTTCGAGAGAGTAGTCCGTTCAAATATTTGGTTCCTTCAAGGAATATTCCCGGTGGATTTCGATTCCTGGCATGGATAATAGGACATCAAACATTTCCTTGGTCTCTGCCAACCTCAACTATTTATCGTGGATTCCTAAACGGATAACTTCTCGTATTAGTCACTTCACCGCACTGCAAACTCGTGCGCGGAAACTGCTCCATTGCTCTTGCCAGAATTTCACCGTTACTATTTCACACCTGTACAATTCTCTTACCATTCTTCGTGTAATATCCTCGAGTTTTCCATCGTTTAACACGTTCGCAATCACAATGAAAGAGACCACGAATGAATAGTATGACAGAATATAATTACAAGTATAATTCAACTATTTTTCTTCTTTTATTAAATTTTTCACTTGTGATCTTATCTAGGTGCTTAATACTTATCTTTCTCCTGCAACTACTATTATTGTCCTTCAATATTTAACAACAATCTATAAATTCTAAAGAACACATGGCTAGCTTCACCAAATCAATTCTCACCCTCCACAATAGCTCACGTTCGACAATAACGATTCCAATCGTTGCACACGAATCGAACCGTCCCGCGACACTTTTCCACGCTCTTGTGCCCGCGTACGAATAACAAGCAGCCGGATTAAAAAACACGAACGAAAGGGGCACTCTTTGGGGGTATTAATCTTTCGGTGGCCGTCCAAGCGCACCCTGTCGGCCGTCCCGGCTGAAATCAATTTCAATGCGGCGCGTATGCAAAAAGGAGGGATACGGCCGCATAAAACGCGGCAGCGAGTGAATACACCGGTGCAACGATATATATTACCTTCTGCAAGATTTATAAAAGAATGAAAACAGTGCGCGGAGGCGCTGAGGGAAGGGAGGGACACCGTCCGAGGTGGGAACCGATCGTGAACGGGTTATATGGACTGGTCCGCGATTCGGATGGCCGATAAATTCCAAGAGGAAGCTCCACGGGCCTAAACTGGCCCGCGGGTTAAAACGAAAAACTTGCATCCCATTATAAGCTACCCGGGTCCCATGTGGCTCGAAACGGCTGGAGATACACCCCAAATTTGCTTATATGGTACCTACTAATTGTTACTTATTGCTGTAGGGTCTAGTGCTATTTTTGTTCGTTTATAGGTATGTGAAATTAAATTACAATAATTAGCAACGCTAAAAGAAGATCAAAATTAAATTTTTGTGTAGGTAATCATTATCGCAAATTTTAAAATAGATAATAAAAATAAAAATTGTTATATAGCTAATCGTAGTCAAAAGTCAAATTGTTATTTTTGTCCTCGATACATTATTATATAGGTTTAGAGGTTTGGAAGAATCCTATTTCGTTTCTTCTGCAAAAATTTCCAGACTCGATGTATTTTTCAGTAACACTTTTCGCAGCAACGGTTACGCCAGCGAATTCGTATCTCTTGACGCATATTTCGTGCACGCATTGTTCCTGGAGACAGTGCTCGCACCGACGTTGCTGGTGCATTTTTAATGAAGCCCCTTTCCGTTTTCGGTGCCTTTGTGACCAACCGTGGTCCGGGCACGCCTTTGCTGTAGCATTTTGCTTTATTTGTCGGCCTCCTGGGACACCTACTGCCATTGAACGTCGACCTTGTTGCCTTCAGCCAGACTATGCGAATCGTTTCTCGAAAACGCATATGAAATTACTGTCTCCTACATAGAACCATTCCTTTGTATGAATTATTATATTTTAAACGCGCCTTTAGCTCGAAACGTTTTCTCGTTCGTTTACGTCTGTTTTTGACTTCAGAATGGAAACGAGGTTCCAGAAGTAATTTCATTTAATTAGAAATGGAAAATTAATGAATAGCAAATATCCCATGCATGGAATATTAAAAAATCTCAAATCAGTCGATGTATTATCCACGCCATTTTCACGGTTCACTATGGATAGGATGAGTTCGAAGCGCATCAAACTGAAGCCCATCGGTTCCGAAACTCTGATTGCTCAGCATGCGATGGAAAGGTATTTATCAGACGGTGAAAAGGTTAATCAGGATCACGTCAAATGCAGACTGGCCATGGTTACGGGGTTGGGCGGGTACTCTAACCATGCAAGTTATGAAACCTTGTAACATCGCCACGTAATATTCTTTATCCTGCACACTGTAATTAGAGGAGTAGTATCTTTTATATATCCCAGTTTCGAGATCGTTTCGACTCATTGCCTACTAATCCCTTCTTCCTCGCGTACTTTTAATCAAGGTGATCCTTAAAATACCTCGTCAAACATGATTCGAAACGGTCCGCGAAATTGCAGCTCGGTTTCGTTTATGTTCTCGAATTAGCCGGACGATAATCCGCTAAACGAGCGCGCTGCTTGATGAAAAATCATTGATGACGATGGACGATAATTAACAACCCGTAACGTGTTTGTTTTGCATTCAATGGAATTTTACTTGGGAAAGTTAGAAGAGTGTTATAATGTTTAAATTTTTGATTTTAATTTTATGTATATCAGTTTTTTAAGAGTTTAATTAGTATTAGAGAGCTGCATGAGATTAAATATTCAGATCGAAAATTTTGTCTCAAATTTGGGTAAAGCTGTGAAAATTTGTTTGACATATAAATTTATTCGGGTGCCCGTGATTTTGGAAACGGAATATTAACTCAGGAACCGAAACGGGTACCCGAATAAATTTGTGTTGGACAAACTTTCAGTGTCTCGCCTGACCCGACCCGAAGCTCAAATACCCGAATTTTCGGATATCCGCACACTCCTAATTAGTATATAATTAATTGTTGATCCTCTTTTTTCAAAAAATTTCTAATGGATACTCTTTTATGCATATCAGTAATTCGAATCAGAAAATTCGTAGTTCTTTAACTGTACTATGGAATAGAAATATCACAGCATCATGGTCGACGGTAGAAACAGCAATCGGCCGATCGTTAAGAAGAAAGACGACATCCTTTGGCCGTGTAAACACAAAGGATCAGCCTCTATTGATCCTACCTAAGGCTTCTCGTAGCCTCCTCGTGATTCAATATCAATATCACTACGCCTACTCTCGTCGATTCATTCGACTCTAAGGCCTGACAGTTCCACCACAATACTACAAATAAAAGTAACAAATCCTGTACATTACTATAAATCATTCAATATCTCTTGTTTCTTTACTTCTTCTTTAGTCTATTCATTCCCAGAGATCGAATATCTATTATTTTTTATTAAAGAAAACAAATATTTGCGACTCAAGTTAGAATATTAACGAGTTAAACAATATACCTTAATATTTTTTACCTTAATTCTCGTTGAGGTGAGTCAGGAACCCCTAAGGATATTCTTCTGAGAATTTCTTGCCATAACAGAAGAATCGAGAAGCCGTTACAGTGCTCATTGTCGATCGAACAAGCCACAAATCGCTGTTCACGATCTCATGCCCACACGAATCGGTGTCTAAGCGATCATCGAGTAGAACTTGTCCAGTTGGTACGTAGGTGGATACACAGCCTGCTAAAAGTACAGAATATAAATTCACCGAAAATGGTACCTCGCTGTTAAAATAATGAATCCTTTTAATTTGGCCATTCGTATATTAAGAGATCCCAAAATTCCAAAAATTATGATTATGGTTTTTCAATATGGAAAACATTCAAAATCCTTTGTTTGACCATTTCTGTTATCTTCAATCGCATAAATAGTTATTGCAGATTATGGTATTCTGATTTGAGGGCATTGAACTGTTAGGTATTTAAAAAATTTCACTTTACCTCATTATCAATAGGTGGTCCCCATGGTTTTGAGGGTTAGTGTAGGTAGGGCAGGCTGTTAGGAAGGAAGGAAGGAAGGACATCAGAGGGATACCGTAACGCTTCGAGCAATCAGTTATGCCAGTCGGGGGCCCTGCGACTAGCAATTTTGCGATTGCTCACCTCGAAACGGCGCATAAATCACCGACATCAGCTCCGTTACGCTGCTCCGCTGTTAAGCAACCGCTTCGAACAACTCGCGTCCATCGTACCTGCAGCTTTCGATTACGATTCTTTCTTACGACGCTGCTCCTGATTCCGATTCACTTCCGTTTAGGTTCATTGGATGAGAATTAACTCGTCGATTCTGAAACGAGAGAAACAATTGAATATTTTTGTTTTTGTCATTTCGAAAGGTGAATATTCTCAAGTTATTTCATGACATAAAAGTGTTATGGAATGACGTTTACGGGACATCAATTTGAAATTGAAAGTTTCAAGATAAAGGCGCCATTAATGTGCCCAATAGAAAATTGTTGATTGTCCATTAAAGCAAACAATGAATCGGAGTGAAATTGGTACTTATGACTTCATTTCATCACGTAAAAATATTACAAAACAACACTTGTTGTATGGCAATTTAAAGCTTAAAATTTTATGAAAACGACTGCATAAATGTTTCATCAATGTTTTTAATATAAAGCGGCTGATTCTTTGTTGAAACAAAGGATTAACCAATATACGGCTTTAATTTCGTCCATTAGCAAATATTCAATTTCCGGCGGCTTTTATGCGAAAATGTTATATCAATGGATTTTTCCATTTGTTATACCATACAGAATCTGCATTTTTATATATAAAATATATAAAAAATATTATTATTCTTAAAGCATTATAGTTTGATTAAATTGAATACATACTTTGGTTCAATTCTATTAATATTCTCAGAGAACATATTTCTTTATTAAAATTCTTTTTATAAGCCATTCGACGAATAGAAATCGTTCATTGTCCCCATACAATAATCTTTCGCTCCCAGCTCAACAATGCATGCATGTCATCGGCAGCAACACGTGTGAGTCACAATGAAACACAATATGAGTCACCGTATGTGCATTCTTATCACTGAAAGAGTTAAACTTCATTTATCAATACAATTCATGCGTCTTATTATTTCAACAAACATCTATCGTCCTTAGTATAACACTTCATTTTAATTAAAAAATAAAGTAGAAAAGTGATCTTCATTTTCTTTTTCTTGAGAAATTAAGAACCTTATTTTCAATTCATTCACTCTATCAAGAGAATATCGATTTTTCTGTTGAGCACCACTTTTACTCCATAATTTATATTCACACCCTTTAATGAGAAATCAATTGCTTTTTGACAGTTATTTCCTCGCGTTCATAATTTTCTTTTCATTTATGATCAATACAAATGAAAATTGAAATTTTTATTTTAATTTCGAGCGCACTGTTTAAACTGAAACGACACTGCACTTTATGTAAATTTTACAAAAGCTACTATGCTTTTCACATTTCCCAGCAAAGACAAAACAATCCATACCGTGCAACGTATGAAACTACAATGACGGGGGTTTAGAAGTAAGAAAAATTCTGCGCTTGCGTGGCAACTGAAGTAAAAAGGGGAAATATTCGAGAAAACTTTGTCACGATATTAAGTGTAATTTAGCCATCAATGTATTTTTTTCACCCTCGCGTAGCGAAAAACTGTTGCGTGCATCGAACTTGCAAATTGCACCCCCCGTCAATCATTTCGGTGCCACCATCCCTCGGTTTTGTATCTTGAAAACACCATGGAGGGGTTGTAGAGCTTCGAATCGATTCTTGACTCGCATTCGTTGGTGAAACTTCGTGCGAGCATGTTGTTCATCGACAGATTTGTCTATACTTATACTTTTCACAAGAAACTGCTTCTACTTTTTGGTATTTGGCCAAGTTCCTATTCGTGGCTTCAAAGAATTCAAATTTCTTTCTTCTATCTTCTGTTTGTTATTAGCATCATTTTGCAGGTAATTAAGTGTAGTGTTTTAAAGACATTCGATACATTTCTTACAGTCAATGTATGTATTTCTTCAATATTAATATTTTATAATATTTAATTTACCGATTACAAATTTTTGTGTAACTTACTTTACGAAAGTTATATGTGATTTTGGATCTTTTGGGTAAAAAGTAAAGATTGGGTCTTTTTTTCTCAAAAACGGTACTGTCAATTTTTCTGAAATTTATCAAAAACATGTGTTGCATCGAAATTATTAAATTAAAAAAATGTCAAGTTCCTCTAACTTTTTTATTGCATTATCGAACCTCCTTAATTAAAGTCTTAAATTATTTCATCAAATTGACATTTCTTTTTAGTTGGCAAATATTTTCTCGTCCGACTGCAATTTTGACTGCATCACACGTGTATTGTCGATTGTTCTTCCGAACATAATAGGTGCCACTAAATTCATGTACAGTCATATTTACAAAACAACCGTAAGTTTTCTATTGAAAGCATACATGAATCTCATGTACTATATTAAGTGTGTTGCACCGTGTTAATAGGTGCAAAAATTATTTATGAGAATTGAGATTGACTGGGAATTTTTGAAGGATGACGAAGAAAGTATTGAAATTCTGCGAGAGTATAGAAGAAACATATCTATGCATATAATATGTGTGATTGGTATAAAAAATAAATATAATATTATTTCTCGATCATTGATCAAACATTTTTATAATTTTCAATTACATCGTTTTTAGCATTTTTCTGTTGTAGTTTTTCAAGTACTATGGTACTAATTATCATAGTAACGTCCCCGAAGGAAATATCCGATGATTGCACGGAATTTTCGTCACTTTTGCTCCATTTTGAAAGGAATATGTATAATTCTCTTGGTTTTATGTCAATGATCGGATTCATAGATTGTATTTTCGTTTTAATCAGTGAAGCCACTAATGCGTTTATATCGGAACACGTGTGTGGTCTGTTCAGAATCGTAGGGTAAGGAATATAACAATATTACAAAACGAAAAACTTCAATTTAAAAAATTTTTTTTAATTTTACTACCAAAGTATTTGATCGATACTTGACTTTTATATTTTATTAATTTCTCTGATGTTTGTTTTTTGGAGTTAGTCGAGTTGACAAATGAGCGATCCATATTATTTTATTCCGACAGGATGAAAGTTAGTTTCACTGACATTGTTAATTTTTCATTGACATTGATGATGAACATTTAATTTTAACAGACATCATTTACGGCGCGCATGTGATGTGAATGCAAAGCTTCCGCTTAATGAGAGAAATGACAAGATTTGTTCGAAAATAATACATGCTATACGTGTTCATGTGAGAGCAACAAAGTTGGTATATCCATATAATTTGTCTTTTTCAATTCAACAATTCAACTTCTCTTTTTCACTTTTTTGAGGCTTATGAACACTTTCTGGAACTTGATTGGAACAAGTTACGTAGTGATTTATCTTTGTGGTACCGCTTCAATAAGCTTAAATATGATAAACGTAAGTAATATCCCTAATTTCCTTGTATAATTAAAAAATAATCCGTACCTTATTAAATATCTTATAACATAAATAAATAATGAAATTTTGCAAAATTGTTGAATCTAGCTCGTGGAAGATGTGAGACAAACTCACAGTGTGAGACCGGTAATGACATCAGTCATGTCCATGTTATATGTATACGTTTATTTCTTTTTCGCGAATTATTTTGGGCAAAGAGTGATCAATCACAGTGTGGATATTTTTCATGACGCGTAAGTGCATTTGATTCAGAAATAATTAATTTAACTTTTGAACAGCGGAGCCTGGATCAATCGTGGTTAAAGTTAAATGTATAATTTTTAACCGAAAAGGTTTGATATATTGGAAAAATAATTTTAAAAGAGCAGTGTAGAATTTAGAGAATGAAATTAGAATTGGTGCTCTCTCCATGGTCCGCTATTCGAGGATTATCCCTAAATCCACCATTGTCACGACTAATTTAAATTCTTAGAATTATTATAAATTTTAGATACAATTCTCGATGGTACGAAATTCCTATCGATACTCAAAAATTATATTTGTTCATTCTACAACGAAGTATAAAGAGTTCCGCGTACATTATACCTGGTGTACTCATATCATCGCACGAATTTCTAACCACGGTAACAATGATTTCTTCGTAACGACGTATAAATATTATTACTATGAAATTTACCTAAAAATTATGCAATACTCTTTCAGATCGTAAAAGTGTCGTTCTCCTGTTTCACCATGTTATGTTCGTTGCAAAAATAACGTTATCTCCTATGTTTTCATACGAGACGTGTATGGTGAACAATGAACAAAACGGAAACATAAAATATGTATATGGTTAACGAGTTATTGTTATCTCATTGATGTTTTCCTGCACCGTATAAATCAATATTGTTCTTGATACACAGCGCCGAATCGATAGGGGGGCTAAGGGGGGCTACCGCCTCGGGCTTTGCTTTCTAGGAGGCTCCATTCTAAAATTTACTATGTCAAAAATTCTGATGCTTGGAATCCACTATAATTTTACAAATTTTTGACGCAATTATTGTCGCAAAACTGAATCTTTAAAAATTTCAATTTTTGAACTAAATTTATTAACCAAGTGGCCCTCGAAGGTTTGTTAACCCCAGGCCCCCAAAATCTTAATCCGGTCCTGTTGATACATGTATTGTTGTTAATGGATTTGCATTTGGAAATTATAAAGGGCATGTTTGTTGTAATGTTTACGTAACTGTTGTTTTTTAAATAAATTTTCTACCATTTCATGTTTCCTATTTAATATAGCTGGATATTGAACAATATAAATTCTTTTTATCGAACAGCGGAACGAATGGTATGAGATAATTTTATTGGATTATATTTTTACTTACTCGTATAAATATTGGTCTTATAGTGATATTGGTGATGGTGTTTTTCTGGGTTCATTTGATACATTTATTAGACCATGGTAGTGATAATTCTGGAAGAATTTCTGAAAAATATAATTTAATCAGATAAAAATAAGTTTTTCCAAATTTATATGTACATAATATTTTTATTTTTAAATACTGGCTTTCCTTCTATTATTCTGCTATTCGTAAAGAAAAAGTATAGTAGACTCCCGTTATATCGCCACCGACAGGGTTAAAAGGGCGAAGAATTTTTAAGCTTAAACGCTCCCGTCCAGCAGAAGGGGGGATAGGATTATAACATTTTTATAAACTATGATAGTGGAAACGTAGCACTAGTATGCTTGAAAATCCGTATGAAAATCAAATCACTCGCACGGCAATATATCGAGAATTTACTGTAATGCGTCATACCACAGCCACTTTCCTTGTGGTTTTCTTCGAAAAACATTTCACTAGTGCAATAAATGTCAGCCAGAAGGTGGACAATGAATAATACATTCTTCTAGAAACAAAACAGGAGAATCATATAAATCCCAACTAACTAACATCTATATTGTCTGTCATTGTCGAATTGCAGCTTTTATGCACTCTTATGCAACTGCACTTTATGTCTTCCTCTTGGTATGAAATTTTTTCAAGTAAAATCTCTAATACGTTTCAACAACTAATATAATGAATAGATTAAGGTATACACGTTCCTTTTATGTTATAATTGCAATTAACGCCGACACTTTGGCGAAGGTATCTACGTAATTATAAAGCAGTTGATACTGTTTGAAGCTTTTGAATGTAAACCGTATTCAAAAGGGACGTATTACCAAGGTTCGTCAAGGGTCTGAAGACGCATTAACATAGTGTTTAGTGACTAATAAGACACTGATACCAAATAGATATTAATACTGTATCAGTGCATTTATAAACCTATGAAATTAATTGCAATATCAGAGAAAGTCTAGAAAAGCTATAAATCTTGGTTACAAAACAATTCAAAATATTTATAAATTTATGAAACGTTCCGAGTTATGATGTAAGATATGTTTGGAATTAAAATAATACCATGAAACATTTATTTAGGACATTATACACAAGACTGGGCATGCTATTTCTGGTTAAATTTATGCTTTCCAGCTTGTGTATATCACTTAATAGAATAAGGCTGTACGAACACGTGGCGCCGTGCCATTTCTCTACCTAAATTGTTATTAGTCTTTATGCGGAAAACCAATAAGGAACACGTGCTTGAACCAGATGGTAAACTTGTTTCATCCTTAAACAGTTTCTGTACCATAACGTATCTATGCACCAATGTCGGACATTCTTATCTATTCTACCAAATATTAATTCCTAGATAGTATTAATATAAAAAAGAATTTAAAATTACAGAAGTGATCGGTAATGAAAGTGTTAATATTAAATATTACGTTTACTCGACAACAAATGTTCATCAACTATGCATTCTCAGTCGTTAGAAATCATAGAATTTGTTTCACAAACGCGCATACTTGCTCAGTCATCCGTAATGAAATAATGACAAATGAAATCACAACTCACGCGACGATCGCGAACACTCTTAATCATCTCGCGTACCCCCGGAGCGTATCGTAGCGAGCGGAACGTTGTTTCGAGGAGGATTCGTCGCGCAGACTGGCTAGAATAAGGTACAACTTGTTGCGCGGGATGGAACGACAATGAGCGAGCAAAATACAGGAACGAAGGGGAAACAAGTCGAGGCATAAAACATGCAGTCACGGAAGGGAAGTTGAACGACATTAAATTTCCATAACGCTGGGAAGGACCATCTGTTTTACGCCTAAGATACTCGAACGTAAATGCACCCCTTTTACAAGTGAAACCCACACATGGTGGATTGCGTGTTTTCCTCCACCGTGTAATTTCCACGATTTTGTCACCTACCGGGAAACAATGTAACTTTCTGTATCGATCAATGGCAATCTTAAGTGCAAGCTATGCATTACCGTTCGCCATATTGCATTAAGCCCGATTAATGTTTCAAACGATCCACGTAAGATAATGATAGTGGAGCTAATGCATCGTGCGTCGTGGCGGGGTGCGGCAAGCTTCTTAATCGTCCAACTTCGCAGATGCGTTTTGACGCTCGTGGAACATGAATCGTTCGAGGCAAACTGATTATGGAGTTAGCAAAATTTTATTATTGGTCCTCGGTCTGTGGCCGTACGATAATAATAGATTGGTCAAGACTGTGAAAAGAATATCTATCATGGGATTTTTCCTAAAATGCGATAAGGACGCTTTGATAAACACTGCATGTTACATTCTATTTGTTTTCATATCAGTTGTGAAATACTATACCTTTTGGTTCAACGAAGAAGGTGTAAGTTTTATAAAAATTTAGGAAAGCTTAACTTTTATCGCTTGATTCGATTTAACATTTTTTGTGACTTTAGATCAAGAAACTAATTGACGCGTATGGAGATATTCAAAGATGAACAACAAATAGTCGGAAAATGCATGAAAACTGGAATGTTTTTAACTAACAGTTTTGCATGTAAGAATAGATTTCCTGTTTGCTGGTTTTATGATCGTTGAATATATTATATCTACCTTTTTCAGTTATATCAGTGGTCGTACAAAGTTTTCCTTTTCATTCCAATTATTAACAATCTTCCATTTACAGCTTATTCAAATGAGTTTCTCTTATTTTATGGTCATTCGTTCCGTACAATCGTAATTACCTGAAATCGTATTGACGGATACAAGTGGCAAGTAGTGCGAACAAGTAGATGATTTTATTATACATAATAGAGGAACCTTCTTCGATCAAGAATCATTAAATTTGAATCGAATGGTCGATTCAGTAGGTCGCACCGAATTTAGTTGCATCTATAATTTCTGTTAAAATGAAAATACTTTGATGACGTCGGCGATAATCCCATTTGTACGTATTATCGTTAAATTTTTATGGTATTATGTCTGGTTATCGTGAAACTAAAAACAAGGTAAGCGTGGCAAAACGGAGTAATAGTAATTAAGTTATATATTCAGTTGATTTTCATGGAAGAAATATCTGTAAAATTTAAAAAAATAAACTGAACAACTTAAAATAAACTTTCGCAATGTTTAATGTACATAATATTAATATGTGATTCTTTTCTTTTTATTTCAGGTAAGTACCTTCATAAATTCCTAATTGAAGAGTATGAAAATCTAATTACAGGTATCGTATGCATGTACATTTCTCTTGTTTTCTATCTAATACATCATTAGAACATCAAAGATTATTTTATATGGTTTGGAAAAAACTTGATAAACAGTATCTTATTAGCACAGTGCAGAAGAATAATCGAATATCTTTTAAATTTGGTAACGCAAATTAAAATGATTATTGAAGAAGAATCTTAATTCCTCTCACTTATAACACTAATCAAGTGTTGTTTTATAAAGAGTGCACTAATTTCTTGATTTGTATAAAGAAATAAAATAAATTATTCAAAATATGCAAACTGTGTAAAATGTGCGAGACAAGATAATATCTTAATTCACCTGAAAAGAGGAAATATGTTATACAAACATAAATTTGCATAAATATGAATAATCTAGTTATCATAATCCCGTCTCACATTATTATCTCTACATAATATGAAAAATAACAGTTCTTACTTGTAACAGTACCAGAAAAGAACAGTTTCCTATGTTTTTGCGTTGAACCATTCCACAGTGAAAGGTTTGATCGTTACATTCTTGAAAATGATGTTCTTCCTTCGAATGTTCTTCGCTAACCGAACTCCCGTTCCACAATCCAACCGTACGTTCTTTTTCCAAGAAAAGGAAACACTGAAACATAGGAGAAATAAATACTATCAGAGAGAAGAAAATTGTGGAATTATGCTGAAACATAATTTATTCATGCCTCGAGAAATTGTGTAGAGAGACAAAATATAAAACCCTTTTGACTTTTCCCCCAGTAGATTTGTCTAATAGACCTTAGATTATATCGATCATACTGAAATTACAGTCTGCGTCGATCATTCTATCACGCAACATCCCCCGTTTCGTACTTTTGCTGGAACAATGCTAAATTCTCTGTAAAAGGGAGGGGGAAAGAATCAGTAGTATAGAAAATTGTTGGTCTGACACTCTGTGACTGTCGACTGAGATGGACGAAATTAGAAAAGTTATTACAAGCTTGGTAATAGTTACTTCGTGGTGCTTGGTCTGTCGCCTTACAATATTTCGAAATTCACCAAAATACAAAACTTTGTGTATGTGTTTGTCATTTTTTCCAGTTTATTAATCCAGGTATTATATATTAGAGGATTCCTCATTTTTTTCTTCACAACGATTATTTTCTTTCGAATTGTGTCGTTTCTCAGATATTTCCACTTATAACGATAGATTTCTCTTTGATACTCCTTCTCAGAAGTTTTCCGTTCATGTTTATTCTAATGATTTCTCTTATGATATACTATGTTGTATTTATGATCAAAAAGGAAGATGTAAATTGCCAATGAGCTTTTCACACCAGCCGTCAAAGTGTTAGGTACTTTGCCATTTTCACTGTGATTATTCTCGAGTTTGTTGCGTGTATAGGTTAAAAATATTATGGAGAAAGTGAAATACGATGGGGACATCGTAAAAACAATCGAGGAATTGAACATACTGAAAGAATATGCGAAGAAAGGAAAATTCTACATCAATATGTTCAGTCGTAAGATAATAGCAATTGCTCAGTGCGTTAATATATAATGAAATTAAACAATTGTAACGATTTGCAGTTAATACATACTCTTGTTCAGCCGTCGCAGAGCTGATTCCGTTAGCTTCCCCTTCCGCCGATGAAAACAGACTGACCAGCAGTAAAGAATTTTTTTTTCACAGACCTAGATAGCAAAGAGAGGTAAAAATTTTTAGAAAATAAAATACCTTATAGTCTATAATTTTCTTAATAGCTCCGCTTACATTGTCACACGTTGAGAAGAAATCGATCGGTAAGTTCTTCCACCCTATTCAAATATTCATAAATAATCAGGCCTGTCATTCATTTGAAAAGAAGTTTTCATTCCTTTGCAAACTTGGTTCTATTCGCGATATTTCAAGAAAAATAGACCATAATTTATTCAGAGGGTAGGTGATGTGGGAGGGTGCATCGGTGACTAGGGATCAGTTGCAGTCGAACCGTTGCACACGATGGATCAACTACAAGTTTATTATAAACAAACTATATTCGTGTTATCAGCGTTAGGTCTGTGGCCATACCAGAACAAATACTTCCGATCGATTTATAATATCTTCATCTTGTTTATTTATGTTTCGTTCTTGGGTGCTCAGGTAAAATTGATGTATTAAGTGTGCACTCGAGAAACAAGTGACTCGTTGCGTGCCATAAGATTCAGGCATAGTTCGTAAAATACACGATATCGCCTGTTACAATATTTCTAAATATAATCCAAATAATCATCGATGCTTTTAGATAATCGCTACTATGAGCACAAAACATACCATGCTTGATTTGGTGAGGTATATTCTTTACATATCAGTGTTTATGGGTTCGCTACTGAAATACGCTACACATTGCTTTCAAGCCGACAGAGTGAGTTGTACAGATTCCAATTGGATTCAATTTCAATAGACATAGTGTAAGAGGTATTTTTTAATTGTCAGATTAAACAGCTGATGGATGAAGTGAAACGCGATTGGAGAACAGAAAATGTTGAAATGCTTGAAATTATGAGAAATTTCGCCAAATCGGGACAACATTACGCCTTCTATTTATCGTGTAAGAAATTATTCTTGATTATATATTTCAATCGTTAATTGCATTTATCCCAGTGAAGCTTAGCGTGTCGATATCGTAAAAATGTTACAGTGATGCCTTTCACAATAGCTTTCATAAGCATAGGATTCGAGACGTACGATTTTATTTTGGATGCAGTCGCACCGTTAAATTATATTCGTCCGTACGTTATACCAGCAGTATATTTCGTTGACGAAAGGAAGTATCGTTTTTTGATCCTAATATATCAGTCTTTTGTATACTTTGTATTTATATGTGCGTTTTTTGGGACAGAGTCATTGATTATTATGTGGCTGCATCATTTCAGTGCTTTATATGTACTCGTCAGGTAAATGTGATGAATCACTTTACACCGATAGTTTATTTTCTTGCAGCTATTTTAAATATTTATGATATTTATTAACACCTTGCTGATCGGCTCATTCGAGCCAAAACCCTTTCGTGCATATTTAAATATGATATGAAAACTTCTAAATAAAATTCAGTATACTTTATTTAACCGTAATGTGTCGCAAACAATCTAGAGTGATCTTTTAAAACTTTGAATTGCTCTCGAGCCTTAAAACTGTATTAACTAATGTAATTGTAGACACGACTTAATCTGCGACCGTCCAAAATTAGCAAGGTGTTAAAAATAGCAAAAAAAGAAGGCCAACAATTTAAGTAATTAGGCATGATAGCTATCTTTTAATTTCCAATTAACGTTAAATTACAGAAAGAAAAAGTGAATTTTCGCAGAATATATGAGTTTGTATTTAGAAAGATCTTAATTTTCAGCTATTACATTTACCAAGGTGTCATGGAACAGATCAGTCACACTTCAAACAAACATTTAGGTAACAGTAAGAGACTCTTAATAACAGCTGTAGTTATCCACAGAAGAGTAATAAAGTTAGTATTTTATTTTTACTATGGCTATAACGAT